GTAAGGCAAATAGAAAGACCAGTGGTGCCCCCATTAGGACCCATGGTTCTCTTGTGGGCCTCGACTAAACGATAGTCATTTAAATTTCAATAAATTCCACTGAACTCCACAAGTTCCAGAGAGAGTGCATCAAACTTTCCCTTCAAACTGGAAATGAAGTTTGTAATCATGTTGCAAACTGGCCAGAGTGCTTCTGCAAGGACCCTCTATACAACCCCAAAAGAGTTGGGGGGGAAATAAAAAAGAAAGAAGAACTTAGAAATGAGAAATTTTCTTTATTACTCACATGTTCAAACAAATTCAGAAAGCTTACCTCCAAATAAGGTATGAAGAAGTTGAAGATCATCTGTCGAACACGAGTCTATTAAAGCATAAACACCAGGTCTCAAAGCTTCATCTATTTCCCTGAAAATTGTAAGAATCCATCCGTGTTACTGTAAGAGATTTTATGTGGAATTAATAAACATTGAAGTAATGGCCAGTGATGCAAATCAAAGTCAAGATAAGGATCTGAAAACGACCTTCTGATGCCAATCCTTGATGGGCCCAATGCACAATAAACCCGTATGTAACAAGATAAAAACTGAAACAAACTGCGACCAAAGACATCCTTTTGCTGCCTCACCTGTGTCAAAAAAGAAAAGAGGGTTGTCACTGTAAGGCACGTGTACCTTAAAGGTATGAGTAAAAATCTCATCATATCATGCAAGCTAAAAATCTTTCCAAGTCAAAAAACCTACTCCCGCATGGGCAGAATATAGTGCGGCAATTACAGAAATGTCAAATTCTGCAATTGCATGAAGAGATGTATAGTTTTAGACTTAGTTATGAAAGGTATCTCAAAACAAGTAAATTATGATAACATGCTGGTGACATTTATATAAAAACACACCTCTTCATAAACTCTTCGTAGACTACTGGCACAAATTACTGCCTCTTGTAGTTCCCACGCAAAATAATCTTTTCTAGTAACTGAATCAATGTTTACAATTTCCAAGCAATGAAGAAGAACACTAACTGAATCTTCAAGAAGAGCTACACACTGTTGAGTCTCTCTACAAATACAAAGATCACAAGTGAAAAATTAATATATAGAGAGAGAGAGAGAGCACGAGCTTTTCTAGACAGGAGCAAGAATGGAAAGGAGAAGATTAGTTAGAACACTACACAAATTGCAACTGAAGTATGAAATAGCCAAGAGGCAAATGAAAACGCAGCATACCGTTTGTGATGCTTGAGAACAGTACATAACAGACGGCAACATGCATTGTATAGCTCCACAGAAAATTTCCGTGCTACAGCATTTTCAAAGATTGGGAGGTGGAGAAGGTTTTGAAAGAGTGCTCCAGGCATACGCAAGGACTGCGCTATATGGCTGGCATCTAAATTGAACAAAAACTGTTTCCCAGAAATTCTCGTAAGTACCTCGATGGACATGAGAATTACAGAGCCAGAATCAGGATTCTTATAATCCTTGGTGGAATCAACATATCCATAGAAGATTTTGGGACCCTGCAAATGCACGATGACATTGAAAAGACAAGCAACTAAGCTCTGAATGTATCTTTTGACCATGTTTAGACGATTATGTCCTGCAAAGAACACAAAAATGAAAAATGCTATTCAACTAAAACTTTCCAACTACTTCACTGTACTTGAGAAATTTACATATTTTAAAGTAGAACAGTTTAGAAATCAAAAAATGCAATATCATGCAGCCGTCCCAATTTTTTGAC